CCACTGAGAGTTTTCGACCTGAAGCTCAATTTCCGGTCGTTTCCGAGAAAAAGATAGTGAACGGTTGCTCTGGAACACCTGGTATGTTGAAGACTAATTGTAAGCTGTTCGAAGAGTGGGAAGTACAGCTAGGGGAGGGGGAACAGAAAAATTTCAAAACTGTAAATCACTTTAAATGCGTTTCTTGACTGTCTGAATGTAGAGAGTTTCCTGAAGTTTCGAATAATCCTAGGAAATTTCACGTGAATCTTTTTCATGAAATTTTCTATCTATCATTGGGGGAGTATGAGCGCGGGATGCATCACAAAGTGGTTTTCCGCCCAAAATGTGGGACTTTTGGTGGACGAAAGTAGGTATACCACAGTTCCACCGGTAAAAACGCTGAAACTTCTGAACCTTGAGTTTTTCACAACCTTTCATTTAAGACCGAACTCATTGAAATCTGAGGTGCAGCCAGCGTCAAGGTAAGTGAAACGTAGGTATGCTCTTCCGGACCCCATAGGTCGATAGTCCTGGCAAATAGCCCGTAAAAGGGACCATAGCGTGTGAAAATTTCGGGTAGCTATGTTTTCAGTGATTCCCATGTAACTTTTGACACTGAATCTGAATTTCAACTTGGCGTCTAAAAATTCGTTGAAATAATTTTTGTCACGATCTGCTTTGTTAGAATGCAGTGTAACCAAGTCCGACTGTTCAACCTGTAGTAGGCTCAATTAAGATGCAAAATTTACAATGATATAATGAGATATATATTCAATATGTGTGCTGTCCACAGGGCAAAGAACCCCAGTCCACTTAAAGGAAAATTGATCTAGTGTGGCAGAGTAAAGGAGTGTTCTATAGACATTTAATGATAAAAATGATCGGGAATGTCAAACCTAATAGGAGCGACGGCGATTTAATGTTTGAAGTTAAAAAAATGTTCCACGGTAAACCTGAAATTCTATTCTGTTATGTGGAAGGAACAAAATTTTAGAAATAAATGCTAACTGAGTCTTAGTATTGCAGTGCATATAACTGCACTCAGTGCATGTAAATGAAACGTAAAATGACATTTCTCTATTGCCTATGTCAGAGATGACAAGTTTTATAGTTTGCTCAGCCTCCTCTATCTCAATGTCGATATGACAAGACCATGGGAGCCGCAGAAAAGCAAACGAGTAAGAATGGGAACCAAGCCCTTTTTTGGCCTTAAAAGAGCCTGAAGATTCCTGGAACCTGAGCCTGAGGAATTTTACATTGGATTATTCTTAATAACACTCTGATTCAAAGAGGCTGTCCCATTTTCCATTGGAATTGGCTGCAAGAGCTTTTAGATCCATACTTTTAGGAATCTTAACCGATTATTGGAGAGGCCTAAATCCGGTGATAAGAAGCTTGATTTGGCTATTTAATATAAAATCATGAAGGAGGGGGGGAGAAAAAATAATGTTCGCTAGCATCTTATCGTTTACCAGCATTTAATTTATTTTTATTTCCCTTTTTTCGTTAGAAATAAAAGAAATTTTGCACTGATAATTGGTCATTCTTTAAGTGGAAGAAGCTTTAGACTTTTCTGTATACGTCATCAGCTGAAGCGGGCACCAGAAAAAAAGGTAGAGAGGGGTGGCACGCGAGTATACACTCCGCGCGCGTCAGCGCTTAAATAGCGCGCCGAGCCAACTTTGAATGGTCATAACTTTTGAACCATTTGTTTCCCTAAGTTCGATAATAGCTCGGTTAAAGCTTGAATCAAAGGCTTTCATTTATATTGGTTTCTGTAAAGATTCATGCGTTCCCTCTTACAGGAAAACTCGAAAAACTGAATTTTTTGGGCTTGAAAAATCAATCAATGATTTTTTCCACATTCAAAAATTACCAAAAACAGATTATACTATACATAAAATAAAAGGTCTCGAGAGCTTTCATTTGAGCTCAAGATCAGGTTGATCCGTCGCTTCGTTCAAAAATTAAGGCGGTCCATGCGTTTGAACTTTGACCTCCTCTCCCCTTCCCCCTGGAGGGCTAGACGAGAAATGTCACCGGATTTAGGCCTCTCCAATGATCCGTTATGATTCCTGAAAGTATGGATCTAAAAGCTCTTGCAGCCATTTCCTATGGAAAATGGGACAGCCTCTTTCTGTGGTTCTGCTAATGATTGAGTGACTAAAAGTGTGTAAGGGTTCACGAGTATGTGTGTATTCATGCGGCTAGAATAAATCATAGAATTTAGATGCTTCAAAGAATAAGTTTTGTGTAAAACTCGGTCTTCGCGTTGTGGGGACACCATGTAAAAATGAAACGCGCTGTGTAAGTACTGAACCTCTTGAGTGATGTTGCAGCAAGTCCTTAAAAGCATATTTAAACTGTTAATGTACGAAGTCTGTTTCTACTCAGAATTTAGAATAGCCATATTGCACCTTTTCGGGCCTGACCTCTCCCTGTGGGAGGATTTGAAGTTCAGGTTCGGAGGATTTGAATTCCAGACATTTGAAGCCAGAGTTCGCGGTCTCTTGCCTTCGTCCACCAGTCAGCTCCTTAGATTTAGTCTCGTCCAGCTATCTATTCGTCTGTCTTCCCTTTTTCCTTTGCCCCTCTGGTTGCCATTCTGTCGTGATCTTTACCTATCTCTCATCCTCCATTCTTGCCTCATTACCTGCCCAGTTCCATTTCAGCTGCTTTGCTCTGTCTGGTGCCTTGATGGTACATTCCCTGATACATCTGTTTCTAATCTTGTTGCCTCTTCTCACTCTGCATGCGCTCTTGTACAATTGCATTTGTGTACAATCCACTTTCTTGTAGTAAGCTTCGGTCATTGTCTAATCCATGCTTGGCAGCCATAAAACAGTGCGGGAAGCAGACATGAGCCGATCACCACACCTTTCATTCTTTTGGAAAAATTTCGTTTTACTAAGTCTAGAAGAGCCCAGAATATCCTCCATCCAATCTTAATGCTTCTGTCAATCTCTTTTGAGGTTCTGAGAGTGAATGATATCAGTTGACCAAAGTAACTTAATCCATCCACGTATTCCAGTGTAATGCCATTTAGGCTGATAGGTCTTTTAGTGCCATTTGTCATTACCTTAGTCTTGATCATATTCATATCCAAGCCACGCTTCAGGCTAGCATCTGGAAGATCTGCTATCATTTTGTTCAGGACTTAGGACACTTTTGGCCATAAGCACTGCTTTGTCGGCAAACCTAAGGTTTGTTAACTGTATGCCTCTTATGCCAATGCCCTCTCTCCCCACTTCATCTCTCTGAATATAGACTCAAATACTGCATTTAATATGGTAAGGGACAGCAGGCAGTCTTGTCTGACACCTTTTGCGATTCTGAATTTCCTCCCTTTCTTCTCTAGTGCTTTATAAGCTATCCTGTTTCTATAGATGTTCTTTAAAACTTTTACCAGATGCTTATCTGTATCCATTTCTGAAAGGTATGACCATATGCCTCCATGTTTATGGGAGTTGTAGGCCTTGCTGTAGTCAATTGATGCCATGTAAATCGCATTTCAATATTCATTGCACTTCTTAATGATCGGGCTTATTGACTGAAGGTGGTCGACCATAGAGTAAGATGCTTTGAAACCCGCTTGACTTTCTGCCTGAAATTTTTCCACCTTACTTTTTATTTTCTCCAGATCAACGCTTGCAAATAGTTTTTACACACAGGAACTCAGGCTGATTGGGCCTGATTGATTCTCTATTTGGTCTCTTCTTCTTTTCTTGTGCAGAAGTATAATGCATGAGGAGGCATTTTCGATTTATGTGATCGGCAAGAATCTCGTTTTCCCAATGCAAATGCCATTATATTATCATGATAGAGGGTTCAATTGACTCGCGTATTTAGACCGAGTCTTAATCGCCCAGATTGCGACAGAAAATTATTTCAACCTTACTTCCATTGTTTCCGCTGTATTCGTCCCAATTTTCAAAGTAAGGGGTATTAAAGTGAACAATTAATAAGGCAATAATGGTCAAAAAATTTCAAAAACAATTTTACAGCATCTTGGCAACATTGCAATGTATTTGGTTCGTTTTTTCTAAACTGTGTACCTATATGTAGACCATCATAAATTTCATCAACTGACTTTATTGGTCAAGAAATTTTTCGTCAGACGACCTAAAGAAAGACAGTTGTAGAAAAGCGCCAATCTTCCCCACTTGTTCAAAGTTTTGTGCCCTCTGGCGAATTCAATATTGCTTTAAGCGAAGAAAATGCATATAAAGAATTTTCCAGAAAATTTAACAAGCCTCAATTTTGAAAAAGACTAATTTTTTCGTCAGATCAATTCTTTGCGAGCTACTGGCAATAATTAGCTAAAAGATATTTTGCAATTTTAGTCCATCCGTGCCAAATTTGGCAACTTTGCGGGCCGAATTTTTTTTGGCGCAAAGTTGCGTTCGGAATTTTTTTGGCGCCAAGTCGGATTCAGCGTCATAAATTAACTAATTAGAAATCCCTGAAAATATAGCTATTTAGGATTTTTGCTTGCTCTTTTTCCTATTTGTGTAGACAATGAAATGCAACTTTTTGATCCCATCTCAAGTGCAGTGGCACAATATTTAAATTTCAACAACTTTGCAGTCCTGGCTAAAAACATTAATATGACCGTCTGCTGTTGATAAAAATGAACAAATTTAGTGCAAGATAATTATTAAAGAATGATGATTCATGTACTCTGAGTGAGGTGGATTTTAGTTCATTTTTATTAATAGAGTATGGTCATATTTGTTCTTGGCTGAAACTGCAAAGGTGTTGAAATTCAAATCTCGCTCCGTGGCTCTGGCGGTAGAAAAAAAAAATCTAACTTCTGGTCACACGGATCGTCAAGAGCACACCTCTGTTTCACTTACTTTGAGTCATTGTGGCATCCTCTTCTGATTTGATGCTTTCTCTATGGAAGATATCCTTCCAACGACAGATGCTTGGGTCCCTGGAACTGGAAGAACCCAGACAAATATAGAGCTTACTGAGTTTTTTCTTAACTTCATACGAATTTGTCATTTGTTTTTCAGGTGTTTGATTTCATGTGCCGATCATCAAGGATTCATCTCAAGTCAACAGTGATAAAGAAAGTAATATGTAGCAAATGATAACACTATCAACCTTTTTTTTTTTTTTTTTTTTTTTTTTTTTTTTTTTTTTTTTTTTTTATCACTTTTACTTTTATTTTCTTTTTTCTTTTAGTCTGATGAATTTTTCATTTTAAATAATAGCAATTTTGAGCATTTTTATAGAATTTCGAAAATTGATTCTTATGTGTATTCTGTAGCCCTTGATGATTTATACTGTACAAGACCTATCAGTCTATTAAACTCTGTGGAATTGTCAAGTTTAGAATGTGTCATGCTTTATGACCTTGAGATCAAGTTGTTTTACCAAACATGCCTGACTCCATCTTATCTCAAATTATAACTGTGAGAATGAAAGAATGGTTTGTCTGAGTTGGTCCGAGTGTTAGTCCACTGGTCGGGAGTATTGTAGTATCTCTGATTAATTTTCTGTAAGGTCTTAATTAGTATGATGATGAAGGTTGGTGGATGACTGACATATTTTTTCCCAACCAGTGATGTACAATGTGCCCCTTGATAATTCTCTGTACGTAAGGTCTATATCAGTTTTTCCTAATTTGTTCAAAATTGATAGAAGTGGAATAAGTTTCAAATGCTGCACCAGTCATCTGATCGTTTTTCGTCTGCCCTCCGTTGTTCATGGAGGTTCAAATGAGTCTCTCTGTCTTCTTATTAAAATGCCTTGTATGTTCTTGATTATCAAGGCCAGTAATTATTCTTATCAATACCCCCTCATTTTCTTCCATCATTCTTTCAGTTCCTCAAAATACTTTAAGAAGGCCTCCTGCTTTGTAGCGAAAGCTAATTTATTCTATTTTTTAGCTTCCCTTAGCTTTAGCATGAGCGATTTTCAACTGGACTGCACCAAACAAGGAGAAATGATCTATTACTCACCAGTTTTGGCCCCCTTTTGCTTAATGCAGTCATTATGAACGCTCCTCGAGATGTGTCTTGCAACGTTTATAGACTGTTTAGGAAGTGTTTATCAGCACAAGTACTGTAACACCAATTATTAGCAAATGAATAATTGGTGTTAATATTTAGCACATGAAATACAAATCTAGACCAGTTTCCTTAGTCCGTATAAGTTTTAGTGTTAAGATTTTTATCTCATGATGTTTTCCATCATGGTTCCACTTTAACTTTATTTCCTCAGTTTTTTATTTAATTAATTTTTGTTCCGTTTCTTCTATTTTTATCTTAATTATTTTATTTTATATTTTTTTTTTTCATTGTGCCACTATATTTGTATTTGAATCTATTGTTGAATAGAATCAGAAAAATTCGTTCATAAATGCCCGTCAATAGTGCAGACTCACTCTAAGCCTGTTGATGAGATCATTTTAAGCCCTTGAGTCAAAGAGTGGTCAGTCCTTAATGTTATTAAATTGAAAAAGTGCTCTGTGTTGGCTTTCTTCCACCGAAATAATTCTTAGTTTTTATTTTAATAATTAGTATATTAAGCTATCATTTTGACAAAATTAACCTTGTTTTAAAACAATCGAAAGTCAAATAAGCATTTGTTATTGATGTCAGTGCCTGGTCCTACCCTACCTCATTCTTGTTTGTTCTCATCCGGCAGTATCTCATCAACTGTGAAAATGTAAAAATGAAAAGATTGAAACTCCGTTCACCAGACTCGCACTAAACTTCTGGTTCTTTCACCCTGGCTCCGTAACTACCTTCTTTTTTCATACTACTTCTTCAAATTAATATAGGACACAAAAAATTAGATTTTAAACCATAAATTCTTTGGGCGACTGTAAGAACCAACCAATTTGCCTGACTGAAATGAAAAGATGTAACTTCTCTTTTATTTCTACCTTTACCTAATCTCATTATAATTACTCAAAGAATATTTCTAGACATTTAATTAAAATAAACCGACCAGAAGCAAATTTTTCTTTACCATAACATAAAAGCATGATATGAATCAGTTTACATTGTAAATCTACCTCTTGAGAATAGTTATCTGTCATTATTTAAAAATTTTAAATTTTTACTTTTTATTTTTTTTTTTTTTCATTTTTATTTGATTTTTGACTGCTAACTCAAGCTAAGTTGGAAGTTGTGCTTTGAAATTGCTGTGTTTGGAGAATTTTCAGAACATTCAACTCGTTAAATTAATTATAACTGGTTTCCCTCGGCCGTAAATGTATGCGATGTTCTATCTAATGTTAAGTAGCAATATTTTCTCGCCTCTTGTAACTCTTTGGTTTACAATTCTTAAGGGACATTAGTGGTATCGATCAATTTTGTAATGAGCTTTAGTCCAGAATATCGAGGAGCAATTCTCCCCTTTTCCATTTTGTTTACCTTTTTCCCAGGAATTCTCACCGAAGTAGTTTCATCACGAGGCTTTCATATGTTGTATGTTCCTCACAGCTGTTTGGCTCCTGTTATTTCCTTTTCGCAGAATGCTGATCCATGATGGCAATTGACAATTTTACAAGACAGAAATTTAAGAGGAGAGGTTGTGTAGGGATAAGAGCATATCGACGGTGAAACTACCAAACCACGTATCTCGTTTGCGGTGTTTAAAAATCTACGCTCGCATTTTATTTTCGTGAAGTAGACAAAATCAATATCATTCCTTGAAATTTTCACAGAATATTCTCCGCACGAAGAGGAAAAATCACAGAAATTTTCAAGACTGGACGTTAAGTAGTTTTTCATTTAAAAAATAAAGTATGACAGGAAGTCTGCGACGTCGCAAACCGAGATACGTGGTTTGGTAGTTTCACCGTCGATATATGGTTGCTATGCTCTTAGTTCAGTACTCTGAGAAACCGTTAAATTCTGAGGAGTGTTTGTGATGCTGCAGCCAATGACGTCAATCACCCGTAGGTGTATGGTTTTGTAAGTTACCTGTAACACGCTGAACTGTATTTTCTTCGCCAGTTCTGGTTAAGCTGCTCTTGTGCAATCATGAGCTAATATTAATGATAATAACAGTATTTTCTCCTCGGTGAAAATAATTACTGTTGAAGTTTCTAAGATTTCAGGTTCTTTTTTTTTCTGTGTATTTAAGTTTCCTAATATCAAATATTTCAGTTTGGGTAATATTAAAGGGAAATCAACTTTGTTTTGCCAGAGTTTTAATAAACATCATGCTCTGCTCATTCAACGTTTACACTTGGCTACTCCATGACTTCCATGACTTAACCGTGCAATTCACCCTCAAGGGAAAGAGAAAAGTTTCTTTAAGGGAATAGCTCCAACATATTATGAATTCTCTTCAGTGTGAGTTGTTCTCCCTCAAGACTGTCTAATCAAAATCAAAGGAAAGTTATTCGCCAGGAGGTAGTACAGTATCTTGGTGAACTCTCGTATACATTGTGAACTTGGCTTTTAGTTAGTGATGAAGAAAGTATTATCTTGTACCGATTATTGTACTGGAAAATGAAAGACTACTCATTTTAGACTCATAAAGTTTAAGTTAGTTTACTTTGTGATAATGTCCGCTTGAATTGTTCAATGAAATCTTGATTAGTTTAACCACAAGGTGCATCTAGGTAATTGAATTTCTTCATTGATTTTTTCAGAACCCAGTTCCCTCTCTTCCCTTACTTCTTCTATCTCTCCCCCCCCCCATCTCTCTTTCTGTTTCCACTCTTAGAACCCCTCTTTTTGTTGTTTTTCTTGTTATTTATATTTTTTAATCTTTTCTTTAAGTTTATTCAATTATTGTGATTTAATATGTAGATGAATTATTTAATTACCTAATGTATATTGAATTGTTGGTCGAACGAATGTAATACCTGTTGTATCATCAATATAAACAATAAATTAAATTTCTACAACTAATTGTAGTGCAATTGAATGATCATTACTTACTCCATATCAAAATGTCATATCGCATTCACTTCCCTTTTTTACCTGGAATACATTGCATTAAGCGTATGCATCTACTAGTAAAAATGAAAGTGACCTGCAAACCTCAGCTGGTCAGGGGTTTTTTTTGTTATGATGTAAATGCATTATGTTTTATATGTCCGACTAAAGAGAAACAGATTCGATACATTTGTTTACATCTTATCTTACAGTCTAGGGGCCACAGAGATAGCGTTTTAAGCAACGTCCGCCATCTTAGATTACACGGCCGTGCGTTTTTTTGGTTACGTCTTACTGCATGGAATAACTTGATTGATTCTCATGTATTTTTTAGCGCTGAGTTCGGGAAAAATATCCAAAAAATTCCATCACCTCAGGATTTTCCGTACTTTCAAAATTTTGATTTTTTTGGGGGGAAAAATTTCCAAAAAATTGAATTTTTATTTTTTTTTTCAATTCAACCATTGATTTTGGTCTTTAGTATCTCTACTAAGTGTAGAGTAACCAACCATTGCACGTCACAAAAAAGCCTCAAAGAGTGATACTTGTCCGAATTTCGTCAAATTTTATGCATTTTTAGATGATTTTTATCCCCCGAAAAATCGTTTTCCGGTCAGAACTTTTAAAGATCCAACTCGAAAAAAATTTAATCCCCTATAATTTACTTTCGTTAGTACCCACTAATCACCAGAAAAAGTAAACACAAGTTTCTAAAACATTGGGAAGAGGGGGGCGGCGCCAAAATGTCATGAGAGCTCCTTGCGGCTCGCGGCTTCTTCCCACCCCGCACTGCCGCACCGTGTTGCAGGCTCCATCTTATCCAAGTTTCACACACTTTTTTGATACCTCGACGCATTTTCACAGGTTTCAACTTGTCTAGCGTTCTATTACGAGTTCAGTGGGCTTTTGTCCTGACTTTTTGGTGCTAATATTTCAGACAAAGCGGTACGTTGTTTGCCAGAGATTCGGTTCATTTTTGTGCCAAAAATTCGTAATTTCGGCTAAATGGCTTCCAGAGGGTGCGAAAAGTCACCAGATGTGTATAGTTACATCAGTGGTGAGCTAATGGTGCAAAATTAGCGGCGTGATACTACAGAATTTTTGAGGAAACCTGCGATGCGGCGGGAAGAAGCCGGGCTGCGGTGCAATGAGCCACAGATCTTGG